CTTAAGATATTTGCTAGTGCAAACCGAATGGTGACTCAGGTGGTGAGGGACAATCCTTAATTTATACATTGCAGCACTTAGAGAAAGTGATCTCAGATCAATTCCTCCCAGCACTTATAAACGAGAATCCACACTGGAGTAGAACAGCCCACATTAGCTATAATAGTTCATGCCCTTGGTCTGTACGTGCCATCCTGATCCCCACTAGACCCCAGGAAAACCACCCACAATACTAAATATACACAGAACTGCAGAAGAAGCCCACCCCCCCACACAAAAATTAAAAACAGCCCACACACAAGGACACACAGTCCCCACAAACACAACACCAATAGAAATCTACATACATGCACACAACCCCATACAAATCTAACATTCATACGTATCATACAAAATACTACAAACTATTCATGAACACATACAATATTACAACCCACATACGCAGACAATGTAACAAAGCAACTGAGGTACCCATAAATAACACAAGCAAAATACAGCAACATACACAGCTCAATTTATAAAAAATAAAACTGGAACGCCAAGGGACTTCAAGATCTCGTTTTGGCACAGTGCTACTAAAAGGTTGCCTACCCCTGGTATAGATCATGCCTCTGAAGTCTCACTGCTCAGACACTTGTGTTTCTTTCCATGAAACCCAAGCCACAACTCCACTGCATGTTTCTTTACAATCAGATGTTAACTTGATTTATAAATTGTTATCTCCTGCTCAGTAAATTCAACATTAATCACACACAGGAGGCTCCTGCAGGGTCTATAATGCAATTAACAGAGAAAGAGATAGGAAATCATAAATTAAACAGAATGTGCAATAAAGGATGTTTAAAAATAGATATCTCCTTACAGGAAGTGTTTAGGAAGGCTGTGCAAGTCACATGCAGGGAGGTGTGACAAGGGCTGTATAAACAAAGTGATTAAACTGCTAAATAGCAAGGAACCGAGCAGTTAGATGGTAGCTGTTTTAATGAAAACTGTTCATTAAGCTAAAGTTTTTTTTAAAGCCTATAGTGTCCCTTTAAAGATGGAGGAAACCTAGAACTTCTTCAACCATAGTTGAAGACATGTGCATATTAAGTGCATCCACACTTATTATATATAATTTTGTTCTTGAGAAATAGACTTTAATTTCACATCAAATATTTATAAATGGAAGGCAATTTAATATGAATGAAATTCTAAAACGTGTGAGAAATTAATACCCCTCCTCCCCCCCCACCAAAGTCCTGCATGGCATTTTAACTTTTACTGTCATAATACTATTAGTTTTTTACTGTAATAAAACACATATTTGTATGCTGTGATGTCCCACAAGTACAACGATACCCTCATGTTCAGGTTTCATGGTGTTTTGGAAAGTTACAGGGTATAAGATAGAGTTTACCTTCAGTTTTTACACATTGAAATTTGTCAGATTGATTTGCTGGGGTTATGTTGTCTTTGAGACCATATAACAGCCCAGGAATGAGAATTACCCCCATCATGGCATATCATTTGCAAAAGAAGACAACCCAGTGTATTCAAAATGTGATATGTCAAGTCTTTTTTAGTAGCCACTGAGTCACAAATCCTGACCAAAATTAGCATTCAGATTTGTTTTTTGCAGTTTTCACAAAGAATACTGCACTTTCACTGTTGATATCGTCATTATAAGTTTTACTGCTCTAAAACACTCATATTTTTGTCTCACATGTGCAACAGTACCCCAATGTATAGTGTGACGGAACGCTGGCACTCTGACCGAAAGGTTTATTTGTGTATTTCTGCCGGGGCGTTCGGGACTTTCAGTATGTAAGTAGTGCTACCCCAGATAGCTATGCCATGGAGCCTATTCGTGTAACGAAAGACTATGGAAAAGACTTTGGCTCCATGGCGATGGAACTGTATGTATGTGATCTGAGCACCATTCGGTAATAATGTGCGCTCAGATCTAAGCTATCTGAGGATATGTTGCATGTATATGTTTTATGTAGTAATTGTAACATTGCGTAATTTTATGTCTTTTTGTAACCATGTGGTTAATGGAGTCTTGCCTCTGTCCTGTGAGATAATTTGATTAGTTCCCAAGTATCTCCAGGATAGAGAGAAGGGATTGTGATGTCATGACGGTTGTCACGGGCCCGGCGGCCATGGGGGGCCCGGTCGCCCGGGCCCCACGTGTAGGGACGGAACTGCCACCGGTGCAGTTGCACCGGGGCCCAAACACTGTTGGGGCCTATCGGGTGGCCCACGCACTCCCATCAGCCACAGCCTTCCACCTGCAAAAAAAAGGTAAGCAAAATTAGCTGTATTTGTGTATGTTAGTATGTATCTATGTATGTGTGTCAGTATGTATGTATGTCAGTATGTATGTACGTATGTCAGTGTGTATGTGTGTATGTGTCTGTGTGTCTGTCAGTATGTATGTCAGCATGTATGTATGTCAGTATGTATGTATGTCAGTATGTATGTGTGTATGTATGTGTCAGTATGTATGTATGTATGTCAGTATGTATGTCTGTGTAAGTCAGTATGTGTATGTATGCCTGTGTGTGTGTGTGAGTGTGTATCTGTATGTATTTCAATATGTATGTATATTTCTGTGTCTGTCTGTTTATATATGTATGTATGTCAGTATGTGTGTGTGTGTGTGTGTGTGTGTATTTATGTCCTTATGCATGTGTGTGCAGTGTGCATAGGAATTCGTTCATATTGTTTGGCCCCCAACAGTGTCTGAGGGACCGTGAACTGGCCCCCTGTTTAAAAAGTTTGAGGACCCCTGTCATTATGTATGTATGTATATATGTATGCATGTCATTATGAATGTATGTCTGTATGTATGCATGTATGTCAGTATGAATGTATGTCTGCATGTCATTATGAATGTATGTCTGTGTGTATGTATGTCAGTATGCATGTATGTCAGTATGTATGAATGTATGTATATATGTCTGTCAGTATGTCTGTATATATGCATGTAGGCCAGTAGGAATGAATGCAATTATGAATGTATGTCTGTGTATGTATGTGTGTATGGATGTCCGGTGTCTGTCTGTATGAATGTATGTCTGTTAGTATGTATATACGTATGTATGCCAGTATGAATGAATGTATGTCTGTGTGTATGTATGTGTGTTTGTATGTCCTCATGCATGTGTGTCTGTTTGTGTCTTTCTGTCACTATGTATGCCTGTGAGTCTGTATATGTGTGTATGTCTCAGTATGTGTGTGTCAGTATGTATGCCTATATGCATCTATGTCAGTTTCAGTATGTGTGTGTATCTGTGTCCTTTTGTATCAGTGTGTGTTTTTGTGTCTGTGTGTGTATTCCTGTGGATGGGATTTGGAGGCGGACCCTGTGGGCAGGATTGGAGGCGGGCCCCAGAACCTGAGCTGAGTTAGGGGCCCCAAAATTTCTGAGCCAGCATGACCACCTCTGTAAAGGCCAACGTTTTAGCAGTTTGCTGGTTTGGAGCATTCAGGTGTGTGTTAACACAATGCAAGGGGGAAAGACATCAGCAATGAACTTAGAGAAGTAATTGTTGTTATTTACAATAGGTGTGGAATATATGGCGCTAAATAGTAGATATAAATAGTTGATTTTAGCTGCTGTATACACTCTATGGGTACTCTTCAGATCCCACTATACAAAAAATCACCACGATACAAAAAAGACTTCAGGCTTAATGGGTGTTGCCACCCCTTAGGTCTTCTGTCTTTAAGAGTGAAGCGCTGAGTATTGTGTGAAAACACAGTGAGTTTACCTGTGATTCAAAGACAATTATCCTTTATATTCTCCAATGCAATATACATACAAAAGAAAACAGAAATATAGGGATCTGTACTTGGACCCATTCTCTTTAATATTTTTATTAGTGATATTGCAGAAGGTCTTGATGGTAAGGTATGTCTTTTTGCTGATGATACTAAGATATGTAACAGGGTTGATGTTCCAGGAGGGATAAGCCAAATGACAAATGATTTAGGTAAACTAGAAAAATGGTCAGAATTGTGGCAACTGACATTTAATGTGGATAAGTGCAAGATAATGCATATTGGACGTAAAAACCCAAGGGCAGAGTACAGAATATTTGATAGAGTCCTAACCTCAACATATGAGGAAAGGGATTTAGGGGTGATTATTTCTGATGACTTAAAGGTAGGCAGACAATGTAATAGAGCAGCAGGAAATGCTAGCAGAATGCTTGGTTGTATAGGGAGAGGTATTAGCAGTAGAAAGAGGGAAGTGCTCATGCCATTGTACAGAACACTGGTGAGACCTCACTTGGAGTATTGTACACAGTACTGGAGACCGTATCTTCAGAAGGATATTGATACCTTAGAGAGGGTTCAGAGAAGGGCTACTAAACTGGTTCATGGATTGCGGGATAAAACTTACCAGGAAAGGTTAAAGGATCTTAACATGTATAGCTTGGAGGAAAGACGAGACAGGGGGGATATGATAGAAACATTTAAATATATAAAGGGAATCAACACAGTAAAGGAGGAGACTATATTTAAAAGAAGAAAAACTACCACAACAAGAGGACATAGTCTTAAATTAGAGGGACAAAGGTTTAAAAATAATATCAGGAAGTATTACTTTACTGAGAGGGTAGTGGATGCATGGAATAGCCTTCCAGCTGAAGTGGTAGAGGTTAACACAGTAAAGGAGTTTAAGCATGCGTGGGATAGGCATAAGGCTATCCTAACTATAAGATAAGACTAGGGACTAATGAAAGTATTTAGAAAATTGGGCAGACTAGATGGGCCGAATGGTTCTTATCTGCCGTCACATTCTATGTTTCTATGTTTCTATATACAGATAATTGTGCAGTATGTTAAGTGCTGTAGTAAAGATTTGAGTGAGTAGCATATATATCTACACTCACATTTTTTAGAGCCTTTTCAAGTAGATTAGGCTCTAAACTTCCATGTGTCTGTGTCTTTAATGGTAGATCACACGACCCCTCTCTCCACGGTAGAGTGTGTATTTTCCTCTCCACAGCGTATATAAAAGACACAGAATTATCGAACTAAGTGTAGCATCTTTTTGTAAGGTTTCTTATATATTTAAATAATAAAAGTGCTCACCTTGTTTAGAGCCTTTTGATAACTGGCTCTAAGTGTATAAGCCCAGTGTCAAATTGTGGGGTGACACTACCCCTTCCCTGGAATCACTGGTGCTGGATGCAGTGGATTGTGTAAAATAAGGGAATTTATTACAAAATATATTAAATCAATAAAAGAACATTTCTAGAAAATAAAAATGAAAATAAAAACAAAATATAAGTATTAGTGGTCTAAGAAAAAGTGGCTCTTAAAGTGGACTCACTACTTTTTCTTAGACCACTAATACTTATATTTTGTTTTTATTTTCTAGAAATGTTCTTTTATTGATTTTATATATTTTGTAATAAATTCCCTTATTTTACACAATCCACTGCATCCAGCACCAGTGATTCCAGGGAAGGGGTAGTGTCACCCCACAATTTGACACTGGGCTTATCAAATCACGGCTTGAACTATCTTGCTTTGCATGTAATGCATCTATCTCATATATTAGTTTCCCCTTTTACATTGCTTTACTGAAATAAATGAACTTTTGCACGATATTCTCATTTTTCGAGTATCACCTGTAGACATTCACTTTTGTAATTACTTGCACCAGAAAGGTTTGACATGATGACACATTTATTGGGGACACACAATTGTAAATAAAGGTGTGATCAGGTGTAAAGAAGTGACAGAGATCCATTGTGTTAAAGGTAGTGCACGTAAAACCTCATTAGCTTTACATGTAGAATAACTTACATCTTTAGTAAGTCTTTTCATTTGTGAGGTAATTGGTAGGCACACCCGAAACATGCATTTATTAGCAGAGGTGCTGCTGTGAAGACCAAAATATATACAAAATAGAGATTAAGGACCAACGCAGGAAAAAAAAAAGGTTTTACATGTTATAAGGCTACTTAACCCCTTAAGGACACATGACATGTGTGACATGTCATGATTCCCTTTTATTCCAGAAGTCTGGTCCTTAAGGGGTTAAAATCACTTATCTTGGCAATTATGGGGATTCAGTTACACCATATTATGTTAAGTCCACCATTACCTCACAGTACCCTACACTCATTTTAACAGGGGAGACAAACATACTAGCTGCAATACTTACTGCTTAAATTGTTTGCAGATACTCTCTTCAAATTTATGCTAAGCATTGATAGTATGGTTCCCGCTGATATTGGGGTACTGTGAAGTAGTGGTGGGCTTAACATGATATGGCCATATGGTGTAACCGAATCTCTGTATTTGTTTGCTAAGATAAATGATTTTAAGCAACCTTGTAAAATGTAGAACTGTGTTTTTGTATGTGTGTGCTTCATCTGTATGTTACACCTACATACAAACAATATTGATTGTGCCTTGCTTTACACAGTGAGACACAGAAAATTGCTTGCTTCAATATGCAATGCACCTTGCCCCTCAACAACCATTACTGGAGCAAATCAGGATACTTTCTAGGTGGTTGCTAAGGAACATAAATCACAGCACAATATTGGAGAGCTACAACCGGTAATCATAATTTATCCTCCTCCTATACATGTGCCTAGTCTGGAAGCTAAAAAAATGGAGGATAAAGACTCAGCTTCTGAGGGAACACTCCAACGGTAAAAATAAATATATTCTTTTTTGCTTTAGATTTTGGGCACTTATTTTTAAAAATAATAAAGTTAAAGGAGCAATCTTACATTCAAAATAAATATAAATTTTATTTATTCTGAGAATCAGCAATGTTCATATTGTTGGTATTAAAATGAAGTGGTTTTGATGTTTAGAGTTTTCTTTAAAAAACAAAACAAAAAGTCTTTACATTTAACTGTAATCCAGCGCCAGGACAATCTCCTAGCAGATGCTGTTTCTCCCACATTAAGAACAATAGGATTGATGATCTCTGGTCCAATCTCTTCTCACATAGATATATATTAGACGTCACTTAAAGCTACAAATCTCTAATCCAGCACTATAGTGCCTTCTGTTGCCCCCCCCCCCCCCCCCCCCCCCCACAAGCACCTCCCACTCCCCGCATGCAAAAGGTTAAAAATCCTTTCGTGTTCTCACCCGATTCCAGCGCGATGTCCCTCAGCGCTAAGTCAGCGCTCCACCTCCTCCAACGTCATCCAACAGGGAAACATAATGTACATGCTGTCACATCCTGTTCTGTGGAGATGTCTTGCCTTGGCTTCTGGTATCCAGTACTCTTTTTACAATTCTTGTTTAGTTTTTCTTGGTTTTTCTGGTTTTCTATTCTATGTCTGGTTTTCTTTATGCTGGGTTTTCTGGGTTCATTCCTTTATTCCGTTCCTGTAATTCCCAGTCCCCTGGATTCCTTTAAATGTTTGTTTTTTGTTGCCACACCTGTTCTTTTGCCATTTAATCCTTTTTTGTTTCAGTCTGGTCCTGCAAGCAGTGGTCTCATTACCTCTGCTCCTTTCTTTGCAGGTAAGTACTGTGTGTGTTTTACTGTTTATTTAGTCATGCATATCGAGGCAGTTAGGACCCACCGTAATTGGAGTACTTTGGTGCACTGGTGGGCTGCATACATCTTGGCCCTATGTATGTCTAAATCTCCAATGTTTTACATATATAGTACTTAGTTATGTCTCCTCTTGTTTTGCCTTGTATGTCTTGTCTTGTTTTATTTTGTCTTGTATTCCCAGTTCATGTACAGTCCTGTCCTGCTCTGTTCATGTTCCCTCATGTCTTGTGTACATGTTCTGGGTTCTGTTTTCTGTCCTGTTCCAGTTCTGGGTTCTTCTAGTCTAGTCTTGTTTGGTGCCTGTTCTAGTCTTGCCTTGTTTCTAGTACCTGATATATATCTGCTGCAGATCACCCCTATCCAGTTCCTGGGAGGTCTGCATATTTGTATCTGCTCCTGGGACCCGCATAAGCTTCATCATGGCCCTGGTATGTGGCTGCACAAACGCTGGTGCACAACACCGGGGGCGTGTGGTTACCCTGCACCAGGCTCTGATAGTCCATTTTCACGCTGAGACTCCCATCATCATCAGGCACTCAGGGGTCCCGGTCTTCGGACCACCACCCGTGACACATACACAGCGTGCGCATAAGGCCCCCCCATAGGAAAGCATTTCTGCAATGCTTCCTGTGGGGATTTCACTGACGCTGGATCTCCTGGCGTGAGGACGTCTAGTGTCATTTAGGCAACATGGAATCCGTTAGGTCACTAGAGGCAGTCCTACCCTACAAAATAATAATTGCAGTTTCTCAAAAGCAGGAGCTGAAGTGTCCCTTTAAACAGAAAATCCAGGCGTGCCGCAAAACGCTCCCCCCTTATTGATATCTTACCTGTGGTCAGGAACCGCTCCCTACCTCCACTACCTCCTACAGAGAACCAGAAGCTGTCTGCTTGCGCTAAGCCCGGCAGTGCAGTGATTAGCTGATTGGTTGAGAGCGATCAGCTCAATAGATCTAACAGAAGCTCCTAAGCATGGGCTTCCAGCTCTCTGGGGGAAGTTGGGCAGGCAGGGAGCAGTGTCTAGTAGACCCCAGTTAAGAAATCAAACCATTCTAAAAACGTTTGACAACTTACAACTCTAGTGAGAATTCAAAGTAAATTTCAAATATAAGACCAGAGTATCCAAACTAAAAGCATAGCTGAGTTACAAATTGTCTTTCCAGTTCAACTCTATTGAACTTAAAATGTGAAATACTATTTGAATTCACCTTGACTTCTCTCAATAATCCAAATACAAAGGTTGTGTGACAGGCCATTCCTATCACCTCAGCCACTACAAAATACGATAGAGGTAATGCTGATTGGAGTATTTTTTTTTAGCACCCTAATAATATGTGTGAGTATTACTTACTGATAACTTCTATCACCACTAAAATCCCATCTACCGGGGCGTGGCTTGGCAGCCGACGAACATGGCCGCTTAAACTTTCCCGCCGCCCGGGTCCCGACTCCAAAACCGCAGCCTACCCGCTACACTGCCGACATGGGGAGACCCAATAGGACCCCACAGCCAAGGAAGACCCCAGAGCCCAAAAAGGGCCAACTCACGTCGGCCCTGCGCCAGTTCTTGGTGACCCCCGCAGACCTCGCGACACAGCCGCATGGCGCCGACGGATCAATGGCCTTCCTCACCGGCATCAGACGTGCTCACGAGCGGCACAGAGCGCCCCCCTTGGTTGGATCTCATGAGAGCACTGCCCACCAAAGAGGATCTCCACTCAGCCACCTCAGCCCTGGGAGCTACAATCCGGCAGGACATCCAGGCACTGAGGGCTGACATGCAGGGCCTGTCAGACCGCGTGGGCCACATGGAGGCAACCTGTGACAGCCTGAGGGAAGCACAGAACACATTAGCAGAGGCTGCAGACACCTCCTCAGAACAGGTACGTGGCATGGCCCTACATCTTGAGGACCTGGACAACAGGGGGCGCCGCAATAACTTAAGACTGCGCGGCCTCCCTGAAACTGAGGACTCCCCCCAGCAGCTACAAGAAATCCTCCTGGAAATATTAAATGAGATCCTAGGCCGAGACCACCAGGCACCCATAGAATTTGTAAGAGCTCATAGAGCCCTCCGTCCTAAGGGCGCGCCAGATAGCCCACCCAGGGATGTCATATGCTGCCTAGCGAATTTTGCCTTAAAAGGAGACTATCCTTAAACAAGCACGAGGCCGACAATCGCTCACCTACCGGAACCAAGACCTGCAACTCTTTCCAGATTTATCACCGGCTACCCTGACCTACCGACGCGCTCTGAAACCACTCACAAGGGTACTGGTGGCCCAACAGATCCGGTACAGATGGCAGATGCCCACAGGACTGCTCGTCCACACGCCGAGGGGTCCATTCCTGGTCCGCACACACAGCGACTATATAGCACTGGGCACGGAGCTCCAACTGCCCGCCATCAACATGAGATGGCCTGACCCACTGGACATCTACACCGCCACAAGAAACCCCTACCCAAGACCGGCGCTGCCGCAACGCACTAGAGGGGGACGCCAGGAGGCCACTAGGCCCACAGGTACCGCCTGTTAGAGGGCATGACTTTCTCCCCCCTTCCCCCCCACAATGCGCCCAACACCAGCCTGGCCCTCTCTAGGGCACAACTAGCCCCGTTCCAGGACATAGACGCTGTCTCCAGATACGAACTTAGCCAACCTACCGATTAGACA